GTGTAAAGTGCCACCTGAAGCTGCAACACGACCACCAGAACCTGCAAAATAAATGTAAAAAAATGACCTATTGTAACAATCGATAAAAGTATTTTATAATTATATCACTCAAAGCTCAGCAAAAAAACCACTTGGCTACAAAGGAAATGCAAAACTAGGAAGTAATTACAGGAATAAATATTAAAAACCTACTAGGACCACTCATGGGCATGTCTGCCGGCTTGCGGAAATCCGGTCGTAACTTGTTGTCCTGCATCCGCAGGAATTTCCTAAGCCTCCATGTAGTAACCTCTTTTTCCTCACCTTCTTCGCCTCGAGGTTGAAACATTTCAAGAGTTAAAGCTGAAAATAGTAATAAATGTAAAAAATTCCAATAATTTTCTCAAACTTACTGTAAAGGTCTATTGATAAAACAGCAATTTTAGTTTCTGTAATCCCTTGGTAATAAAGTATTTGCAGCTCTGGAAAATAAAAAGCTGATTAAAAAACTTACGTGACAAAATCATCTCTTCCCGCACAACTTCTTGCTGCCTAGCTCTCCTTAACGGCCGAGAGACACATAAAAGAGCACCACGAGCACTACTTACAGGATCATAATACAAACGAAGTGACCCGTCACTGAGCGCAACCAGAATTTGGTTAATTTTTTCGTGCCATTTAATCCTCATACAACTCTACAAACAAATATAGTAAAAACTTTAAAGAGACCTGCAAAATAGTAGTTCAAACAACTGACAAGCTTAGGATATTTGATTTGGTAGACGAGTTCAAAATTCGATGAATCAAAAAAGAGAAGAGCCCCATCAATTCCACCATCATCTGAAGTGGAAGTCCCTGTAAAAACAAGTTCTCCTCTAGGCGAGAAACCACAATCAGTCCTGAAAACGAAAATCAAAAGAGCTGCATTGGAACCATAAAAAATTTCGTTAACCAATTCAGATCAACAAAATGACCATAACTGAAAAATCACCACACCAAATCATTTTAGAGACTTATAGGCAATTAAATATGACTAAAAAACAGCAGTTGCACGAAACCATAAAACGAATAAAAATCAAGGCGCAATAACGCACCCTTCAAAGTCAGTAAATAAGTCATTCTTCATAAGCACAGGTTCCTTGAAAGATTTTAGGTCAAACAATTTGAGAGTCCCATCCACTGAAATTAGCTATCACTAATTCTATTAAAGGTTATACTGAAAACCACAGGTAAATTGACAAGACTAATTAGAAACACTAATAGACAAAGAAATTTTTATACACTGAATAAAATAGAATATCTAACGAGATCTCGATAGAATCTGCTGTCCATTTGCTGAGAATTGAATTGAAGTTACCGGCTTAGAATGAGCTGTCCTGTTCAAGTAAGTAGTGTTCACCTAAAGCAGTAAAGATATTAGTGGAAAATAGCTAAACCAACCATGTGCTTTAATCACATGTACAAAACGTTTAATATGAACTTTCCACTTCTCACAGCAGCCACAAGTGTGAAATAAAAAAGCGAACTTGAATTAATTATTAAAATTAAATATAAAAGGCACTAGAAACATTCTTACTGCTTTGTTTTCAGCCTAAAAAGATGAAATCAATTAACTTGATAAGTTCATATAAACTTCAAATTGAG